ACAATAGAAGTCCCGGTTCACAGAAATCACGGTTTAGATGTTAGCTCTAGAAGCCTTTCCTGACCTCACTAAGCATAGTAATTCCTCCCTTATTTACCTTCATAGCACTTTGCATCTTTGGTACACTTTGCCAAATTTTGCTATATAATGCTGCTTATCCATTTGTCCTCCTCCAGACTAAGCTCCAGGGGAGAGATCTGCCTTTATTCATCTTTGTACCTACAGCTTTGAGCTTACTGCCCAGTTCAAAGTAAATGCCTAATAATGTTAAGTGAACTGAATGGGTGGAACCCATAGAATGTCCCTGATTGAAGAGGAACACAGGAAATTATTAACTTATTCATTCATTTTCACGTCATGAAATTAAAGTTAAATTAAATAAGGGCTACTATGTTTGCAATGTCAATGGACTATAAACCTGTGTTCTTAGCACATAAAGCCTCTATAGTTTAAAATCCAGTTGAGACACGTAGTATGCTCATGAGAGAGTTAAATACAAAGCAACTTAGTTTACTTTAAACATCAAGATGAGAGGTTGACAATCAGTGGGAATTCAGTTGTGGCCCTGACCCTTGGTGGCAACCAGAGAGGGCTTCCTAAGAAGGTGTGACTCAGGCTAGACTAAGAAATTCCTGAATGCCCTATTCAGCAAAAGGAATAACAGGAACAAGAGCAAGCAGGGGACAGAGTAGGAGGTAACTTCTTAGGTCAGGTAGGGGATGAGGGAGGTAAAAGAAAGGGGGGGGAGGGGAGGGGAGCCTGAGCTCTGAGGAGCCTGAGCTGAAGGCAGTGGGAATTGTGGGTCTTCTTCTGAAGGTTTCTAAGCTTGTACCTTTGTGGCAGATGGAATGAGGTTGAAAGTGTTCTTTCAGGGAGGTGCATCTCCTAATAGGGGTTAACTATAATAGAATAGGTTGTACCAGGAGATATTTAAAAAACTGTTTTGAAAATGCCTCCTTGAAGTCAGGCACTGCACTAGGTGCTGGTGAACCCACAAAGAATAGGACACGGTCCCTGCCCTCAAGGACGTGCAGCCTAGTGGGAGAGCCACCATCCTGGAAGTGTCCTAGAAGAGGCTGGATAAGCTAGTGGGACTCTGCCAGAGATGGGGCCTGTCAACCCTGATTCCCTGTGGATGAGGGCTTGGCCTAGACAAAGCAAGAGAAATGCAAATGAACACTTCTATACAAGGGAATTTAAAAAAGTGGGGACAACAATTTCCTGGACTCAGTGATGCCTTGGAAGAAGGAAATGAAGAAGGTGCATTCAAAAATTTAAAGCTGTAGGGCTTCCCTGGTGGCGCAGTGGTTGAGAGTCCGCCTGCCGATGCAGGGGACACGGGTTCATGCCCTGGTCTGGGAAGATCCCACATGCCGCGGAGCGGCTGGGCCTGTGAGCCATGGCCGCTGAGCCTGCGCTCCGCAACGGGAGAGGCCACAACAGTGAGAGGCCCGTGTACCGCAAAAAAAAAAAAAAATTAAAGCTGTAATCATAGGAAACTGGGAGAATGAGCTAGATGAGTGGAAAACGGGGGAACTGAGTTGAGTTCAAGACATGATGAGTTAAGGTGATAGCAGAACATCAAAAAAGAAAGAACCAATAGGCTGGAGGAGATACTTAGGGTCACTGGCCAGGCAGCAGCTGGTGGAGTCACGAGAACACATGAGCTTTCTGAGGAGAGAAAAACAGATTAGGCCTCATGGGAGCCCAAGTGTTAGAAGGAAAGCAGAGGAGGAAAAGGACATGAGGGCTGACACACATAAGAAGTGTCACCATAGCTGTATCAAAGGCCCATCTAACTGTGGATTCTGTCTCTGAGAGAAGCACTGAAGGACTGTTTATGGCAGGTATCGTGATGTCAGCCTCAAAAGGCTGATGGTGTTCTGCAAGCATCCCAACTCTGCTCATGTGGTGCTGCTGAGCATTCACTCCACAAATGAATGTATTGTTTCCTGTATGCAAGACACTGTTCTAGGCACTGGGGATACAGCAGTGAACACAATGGAACAAACTCTCTCATGATGCTCATATTCTGGTATGCGGCCAATAAACAAGATAAAAAAGCAAAATATATAGAATGAGAAGTGGTGATAGGTACCATGGAATAATATAAGGCAGGAAGGGAGAAAAGCGGGTGTCAGGACTGTCAGCAGTGGCGTTGCAGTCTTTGAGAGGGTGGCCAGGGACGGCTTATGGAGAGGATGACATGTGAGTGAACATCTGAAGGTGGTGAAGGACATCCCGGGGAAAAGGAACAGCGAGGGCAAAGGCCCTGAGCTGAAGCCTGCTGGAGTGTTTGAGCAGCAGCAGGAAGTCAGGGTGGCTGGGTACAGTAACTGAGGAGAGTGGAGGACATGAGGTCAGGGAGGTAGTAGCAGGGATGGCGGTGAAGGGGAGAGGGACACCATGCAGGGCCTTTAGGCCATTGTAAGGACTTTAGCTGCTACTATGAGTGAAGTGATGTAGAAGAGACTGGCTAATTATCTACCAAACTGTTTCTTCTTCATCCTGTGACACAGCTAGACATCTCCCAGCCCCCTTACAGCATGGCCACGTGACTGAGCTCTGGCCAAGGGAAGAGAGGCAGAAATGATGTCCACTGCTTCCAGTACTGGCCATGCAAACCTGCCACATGCCATTCTCCAAGCTCTTTCTCTTTCTGTGGCAACTCTGGAAACTGTGTAGTGCATATAGCAAGTCACAAGATAGAAGGAGCCCAGGGTCCTGTTAAAGAGCCACTCCATGAACAGGAACACCCTCTTTGGACTTTTCTGTGTGTGAGAAATTAACTTCTGTTGGTTATTTTATGCCATTGATATATCAGGGTTTATCTCTTACAGAGGTAGCATTACCTTAACTAATACAGATGGGAAGCCATGGGAAGCCACTGGAAGGTTCCACTTCTCATTGGAGCAGAGAAGTGACATGACCTAAGATTTTAAAAGGGTCACATTAGATTGAGGAGGTTAAGATTAGAAACAAGCCACCCACTTCGGAGGCTTTTGCAACAATCCAGGTGATGATGGCTTGGTCCAAGGTAGTAACAGTAGAAACAGTGAGGAGTGTCAGATTGTGCATATATCTTGAAAGTATCAATAGTTTAAAAGGGTTTCCTGATGGGTTGGAAATGGGGTGGAGAGAGAGGAGTCAAGGATGACGGCAAGGTTTTGAGCAAGTAAAAACATGGAGCTGCATTTTCTAGGATAGAAAAGACCTTGTGGGGAGCAAGTCTTGAGGGATACTATTGAGAGATTAGTTTTGGACATATTGAGATGCCTATTAGATATTCAAATGGAGATGTCAAGTAGGCAGTTGGAGCTCACAGTGTCTGGACTAGAGATATAAATTTAGGAGTAACTGGTTTATGTGTGGTATAAAACCATGTGTTTTGATTAGAAGAGACCCAAGACTGAGTCCTGGAAATTTCTAGTGTTTGGAGATGGTGGTGGTGGTGGTGGGGGTGTTGATGAGAATGAAGTAGCAAAGGAAACTGAGGAGAAAAGCCAGTGAAGGAGGAGGAGAGCATAGTGCTCTAGACGCCAAGTGAAGGAAGTGTTTCCAGGAGAAATCACGTATGTTACGCGCTAACAGTGAGCTGAGGACAGATTGACCATTGGCTTTAGCAATGTGAAGATCAGGTTTGGTGGGGTAGTGGAGAGGTTAGAGAGAGAATGTGAAGCAAGATGTTGGAAACTCTTTCAGGGAGTTTACTATAAAGGGGAGCAGAGTGGGCAGAGGGGCCAAGAGAGGTTTTGTTTTATTTTGTTATGTTTTCAAATGGAAGAAATAACAGTTATGTTTCGGAGAAATACCAGCACATTTGTTACTGATGGGAAGGACCTAGGAGAGAGAATCAAACTGATGATGTAGGGAGGAGGGAGAGCTGCTGGAGCAATGTCCTTGAGGAGGGGAGATGGGATGGGATCCAGTACAAAAGGGGAAAAGTTGGACTTTGCTTAGAGTAAGACAGTTCTATATTAATAAGGAGAGAAACTTGATCTACTGGTCCGATTCCAGATAAGTGGCAGGCATCGTGGTGGGAACTTGGAGTTCTCTTTCAGTTGCTTCTATGTTCTCAGTGAAATGGGAAGCTGGGTCATCAGGAGGCAGTGGGGGGTTTAAAGAGGGAGAAGATGTGAAATAGCCATTCAACAGAGAGAACATATGAGGGGAACACGGTATGATCTCCAGGCAACATCAAGGACCCTCTTGAGGCCTGAGATGATGACTTTAAGGTGAAAATGGTTAGTATGTCATGTGGTTTTTCTCCAGGCAAGTTTAGTGGCATGGTGCAGTTGGTGGAGAGTTGGGCTTGGTCGGTGAGTAGATAAAGTGGAAAAGACACAAAGGTGCTGAGGGTACTTGCGAGGGAGTGATAATATTCAGGATGGATTCTGGAATCTAGGCTGGAGGGGAAGGGACTGAGGATGTGAGGAGAGCGAGGGATAGTGAAAATCCAGAAGGAGCAAGAGATTGCAGGACTGGTGGGGTTGAAGGATTATTGAACTCAGGGAAATATAGGAGATGGCATAGTTGGAGAGTAGGAATAATGGGGTGGGGTGCAGTTATTAATGACAAACTCTAGGGTAAAATCAGGGGGGTCAGTGGCTGAGGAGGGTGAAGGACAGTAACAGCGACCAGGGTATGGGAAGGATCATCTATGTGGATATTGAAAGCACCAAGAATTAGGACATAACTCATTCTTGGCAAGAGTGATGGTGGTCCAGGAACTTACATTCTAGCCCTCCGACCATTTCAGTCTGAAAACCACTTCAGTGAATGGGGGGAAGGGATAGTTAGGGAGTGTGGGATTGACATGTACAGACTGCTGTATTTAAAATGGATAACCAACAAGGACCTACTGTATAACACAGGGAACTCTGCTCAATATTATGTAACAGCCTAAATGGGAAAAGAATTTGAAAAATAATAGATATATGTATATGTATAACCGAATCACCTGAAGCTATCACAACATTTTTAATCAACTGTACTCCAATATAAAATAAAAAGTTTAAAAAAAAGTTATTTTGTCACTGCCCCCCCCCTCAAAAAAAACCACTTCAGTGAAGAAAAAGACCCTCCTAGGGTATCCTAAATCAAAGCAAGACATCCAAAAAAGCTTTCCAATTAGAAGGTTGGGTAGCTTTTCCGAAATACTCATAGTCTGGTTTTTATTGAATGTGAAATATTGTGCATTTTAAATAGAGGTCAGTCCATGGGCCGTCTGGCAGACCCTCCTTAGTGACTCTCTTGATCTATAATTTGTGAACCCCTGATTTTACCTATACTTCAAGCCTGGAACCTCTGATTTACCTGTGCTTTGAGCCTGTGTCTCTTCTCCTTGGAATCTCTAATAAGCGCTAACAAGATATGTCAACATTTCAAGGGGGTGTCATATGCAAAAGAAAGTGAGCCAGTGTTTGTAGGGCTGAGACAATAGTAAACTTTGAAAGTTTGAACACAAAAGAGAAACTCCGCCTGTTTCACAGACCTTGTCTTAACAACCTCCTGCAGGAACCTTTCTGCAGCCTCAAACCCAAACCGCCATTTGGAACAGCAGGGCCAGGCTAGCAAGTTCAAGTTAGGGAATGCACTAAGGAAGAAGGTCTAAAGCTTGAATCAGAAAAGAGGGACTAACAAGAGAAACTGGCAAAAAGGGACATTTAAGGAGAAGCCTTTGGCTGGAATTCATTTCTGTCTCCTCATCCTTATCCAGAGGAATCTGAGCGGAGAAGAAAACACGTATCTCTTTTGGTATATGGCCTTACTTTCAAGTTTTAAATTAGATAAATAGAAGCTCGGTGAGGCCTCTCTCAGAGGTGTACTTCTCTTGTCCTCTCTTCTGTTTCTTTCTGTCACCACTTTTCTGCATCTTCCTTCTTCTCTGATTTCCACCCTCCACATTCCTCTTCACCCCCGTTTTGTTCTCTTCCACCTCTCCTCTGGTCCTGGTTCTCTTTCCTTCCTTCTCTCCATCTCTTGGTCCTGGTCCTTCTGAGAGCACATCTTCTTGTGCTGGAACGGAGGTGAGGTGTGGTGATGTGCAGTGGTGAGGACATGAAGTTATGGACTGGAATGATGCTAGAATAATGCTTCTCATCCAGGAGCCATGCTCCCAAGTGGTTCTCCAGGGAAAGGCTATGTTGTCAGCGTGAGATTATTCTAGTTTTTCCTTAGTTACAGCTTTCTCCTCCCTTCCATCCAGAGTCCCTCAGAAAGCTGAATGCTGCAGTGGCGTTGGCGAGGGCTGCATAGATTCTCTCCAGTGTGAAAGTGTGGCTCAAATAGAACTTCCTGTAGGTGTAGGAGAGAAAAACTTTCAATATGATATAACACCTTAAAAGCTCTTCTGTGGGCACCTAGATACTTCTGTTAATTTTTTAAATTGTCAACTATTAATAACAGGTAACTTGTAAGAGTTAGTGGTTTATTGATAATACTTTACTCTGGAAAACATATAACCACTTCTACCTTCTTTAAGGGTCTCTCTCTGGTCAGACAGAGGCACAAAGGAAGTACTTAATGAATAACTGTTAAATGAATACATGGATGGATGGATGAGGGTTGGAGTTTGGGAAGATAAGGGCTGGGCCCCAGCTAGGGCCCCTAGCTCCTTCCCACTCTCCTCAGTGGAAGGTTGGGGCCCCCAAGGAGCTCAGGGAAGGAAAAGGAGCTCCCCCCTCCCCGCTGCAGAGGCAGACCCTCATGCCTCCCACACTGCAGGGAGAAGGCAGCTCTAGTGACGACAGCGTCCTGCTGGTCTCTGTCCCTTCAGAGCCACTTGCAGGAACTCCCAGGGCCCTCTGGTGGCCCTGGAGGTACCATACTTAGGGTTTCACTCAGGCCAGTTGGAGGTAAAGAAGAACAGGGCAAGAAGAAAGAGGGCTGAGGGCTTCCCTGGTGGTGCAGTGGTTAAGAATCCGCCTGCCAGTGCAGGGGACATGGGTTCGAGCCCTGGTCCGGGAAGATCCCACATGCCACGGAGCAACTAAGCCCGTGTGTCACAACTACTGAGGCTACGCTCTAGAGCCCGCGAGCCACAACTACTGAAGCCTGAGCACCTAGAGCCCGTGGTCCACAATGAGAGAAGCCACCGCAATGAGAAGCCCGCGCACCACCACGAAGAGTAGCTCCCGCTCACCGCAACTAGAGAAAGCCCGCGTGCAGCAACAAAGACCCAACACAGCCAAAAATAAATAAATAAATTTATTTATTAAAAAATAAAATAATAATTTAAAAAAAAGAAAGAGGCCCCCCACTCCCACCCCACAGCCTCCTGGAATCATCCCCAGGACCCTAGGACCTGAACCCAGACCTGAGGTAGAATTCCAGGCCTGTCCCAGGAAGGCAGCTGGATTAATCCCATCACCGTACCTATGAGTGGTGCCAGCTGGGGCCGGTGGAGGCTGCCAGAGTGCTGAGGAGTGAGAGGGGCTGCAGCCCAGTGGGGTTCTCTCTTTCCCACTCTCCATGGGTGAACGACTCCCTCCAACTGAGGTCACGGGTGCAAGGGATGGCGTCTTCGCTGGGACGTTTTTTTTCTAGGTCAAAAAGGGAATGCATTTGTGTACTTTAATTCACAGAGCACTCTTACAGAGGCCAGCCAACATTTGCGAGGTGCTTATTATGGGCCAGGCACTGTTCCAAACAGTTACAGGCGTCAATGCTCTTTTAATACTCACAACAACCCCCGAGAGGTCAGTGCTGCCATAGTCCCCATTTGATGCATGAGGATTCTGAGGCCCAGCAAGTTTAAGTCACTTACCTGTGGTCACAAAATGACGAGGCAAGGCCAGAATTCAAAGCCAGATAACCAGGCAACAGAGCCCGTGTTTTTACCACTACGTCATGTGAACAAGGCAGTACCAGTAAAAGGAGGCAACCAACGTGGCTTGGAGAGGTTAACCAAGTGAATTTCCCTAGGAGACTCAGCTAGCTGAACTGGCAATGGCCTTTGAACCCAGATGGCCTGAAGCCAGAGCCTGTTCCTGGTCCACTTGGCTTCAGCTACTCAAAGGGTGGCTTGCAGCCTAGCAGCCTTGGCATCACCTAGAGCATGTGAAAAATGCAGTCTCAGGTCCACCCAGACCCACTGAATCAGAATCTGCATATTAACAAGATCCTCAGGGGATCATTTGCACATGAAAGTTTGGGAAGCACTGTGATAGGTCACACCACCCACTGATAGGGAGTTGAAAGATTCAACTACACAGGTAAGCTTGGGGACGCTGGCTTTTCCAAATGTAGCGCCCACGCTCTTTCTCTCCCTCTCTCTCTCTCTGTCTCTGTCTCTGTCTCTCTCTCTTTCTCTCTCGTCATCCAAAAGTTCCAAGAGGCTGGGGTGTGACTGTCCTTCCAAACTGAAAGGGTACACTACCTGGCCCAAAGAGAAAAGAGGGGTTCCTTCAGCTCCGAGGAAAGAGCAGGGTCCTGAGGACACCCCAGGATGGTTAACTGAAATCATCCTAGGGTCATCTTGGGAACAACAGTTCCCACGACACAGATGGCCTATGAGTCTGAAATTCTAGCTGTTCTCTCAAGTCCTAGAAATAAGTTTGAAATATTCTCTATTTCTGTCTTCTTTAACTCTAACCTCATGCGGTATGTTTTGAGTGTATGTGTATGTGTGTGTATGTGTGTGTGTGTCTGTGTTTGAATGTATGTGGAAAAACATTAATTAATGAATCACCATTGTATTAGCAGTCACATAATATGAGAAAGCACTTCTAGACTTGGAGAAAACATGGGCCAGCAATCAGCTCTATTTACCATCTAGAACAGGGGTTGTGAACTGGCAGCCTCCGGGCTCACTTTGGTCTGTGGATACCTTTATTTTGCCCACTAAGTGTTGGCCTGTACTGTACTTTAGTATTTTATGAAGTGAAGGGGGGGGTATGTGATATAAAAATTCACATTTTTGTTTTTTCTTGAAAAATCAGAGTATCTGGCAACCCCAGGCTTGTGTTGCAGCCTGGCAACAATTAGTTGAAGCTTTAATTGAAACGTTCACTTTTTCATGCCACTGTCCCCACCACTCCCTATTGTCTCCTCAATGCTGAAACCAAGTGTCAGCCCAGCTGTTGTTTTACCAATGATAGAGTTGAGAGAAAACCCAGCCATTTCTTATATCTATGACACTTAGTCGCTTTACTCCTCTATACCCCCTGCAGATGTTTGAGCTGCAACCCCTGGTTTGGATAAAAGTTGGCACAGCTCCCCTGGGATCTACACATTCCTCTAAATCTCTAAATATAACATGATATTCTGACTGCCTCCTGAGCCAGTCTGGAGGAATAATTTCTTAGTGGTGTGGTGCACAAATATTTATTGAGCTCCTATTGTGTTCCCAGCCCTGTGCTTGCCACTGTAGAAATTCAGAGGCACCAGAAAAATTTAGTATTGGTTGAAGAAACAAGACTTAAGCCTATGAAACAATCAGGGATAGTATGTTGTGTAAGAGAGGTTATGAGCAAGGAGAGATTTGTCTGGGCAGGAAGGTGTCGTGAGTGGACCTGAAAGGTTAGGTAGGGTTTAGGGTGGCATCAGGAGGAAGGGAGGAGAGGGGGATGAATAAGGCATGGGGAAGGGTAGCTGAGGTTTGACCAGAGCAGAAGATTTGGGCTGGAGAACAGGAGGAGTCAGAGGGCTCCCATTTGAGGAGGGGACAGTGACCAGTTGAGATGGGTACGAGCGGAAAGTTCATGCAGGATCATCCATGCCATAATGAGTGGATCTGGGGTAAACTAGAACCCAGAAATAAATCGGGAACAGGGCTGCTGTTTCCAGAATGGGTCATGCTGTCTCACACAGACTCTGCGTCTCTTCCTAGAAACCCCGCCTCATCTGCCTTGGCCAGCCCACTCTTACTTATCCTCTCTGACTCAGCTCAGACCCCAGGCCTTCTGGGACAGCTTCCCGGAAGGAGGGAGAGAGGCCTGCCTTTGTGCGCCTGTGGCACCCCAGGCTTGAGCTTTGAATGTTGCCTGGAAGGAGAGGTTATGTAATTTGGGGATTTACCCATCTGACTCCAAAAATTATAAACCCCTTGAAGGGGGTGCTGTGTCTTTCTTCACTGTGATTCCAAAGCCTTCAACAGTGTTTGGCACTTACCAAGTGCTCAGTGCATGCTTTTGAATGAATAAATGAATGAATGAACTAGCAGAAGATTGCTGCCATGGTCCAGGCAAGAGATGATAAAGTGGACTAAGGTGGGATCTGTGGGAGTAGAAATGAAGTAAAGAATATAAGAAACATTTGAAAGAAAGGAATTAATAGGATTTGATGCCAAATTGACTATGGTGGCCAAAGATCCCGGAGGAACTCAAACTAAGGTACAGGAGGATGACGGCAACCCTGACGGCACCAGGAAAGTTGGGGTGGGGTACTAGAGGCAATCTTACTCCTATATCTGCAGAGCAGAAAATTCTCCGAGACAAGGGTGCCCCGTGCCCTCCGTTACCTGGACTGTCCTTTTTTTTCTCTGTCTTTCTGCTGCTCCTGGAACTCCAGCCATTTCAGGATCAAGAAAATGGAAATCAAAAGGAAAAGAATAGAGCATGAAACTCTCATTTTAAATCTTGTTTCCAGTTATATTTTTCCTGATGCAACAAAAGCTTTAGAGGCAGATATAAATGTGAAAAAGGCCAGCTGTGACTATATTGGGTGGGTGTGACGCATATTAAAGTAGCAGAAGAAAAAATAGGGAAGGGGGAGGCGGGATGGGGTGGAGTTTGGGCAGCAGAACCCAGGCTGCTGATATTGCTGAGGTGGAGTGGGTGTGACTCCATCTGTTTGGTCCTGCGTCTTGGCCATTTATTTTATTTGCTGTACATTGCATGTTGCTGCCAACGTGCAAAAACTGCTATAACCGCAACCAGACTAGAACCTGCCTAAATGAGGAGAAAAATCATCACTCAGGGCTTCATGCTGAAAAATTAAAGAGAAGAAACTAAATGTCTGTACAAAGCAATTATTGAGAGAAGGAAGCAAAAATTCAATGTTCCCTGTTTCTCACATCCCTCTGATCCGTCTTGTACATGACAGCCCAGACTCAGACTCAGTTGCCATAGCTCCCTGGCTGGTCCCTCCACACCTAGCCTCCCTCTCTTCAAATCACTGTCACGGCAACAGCCAGCATGACCTTTTTAAAATGTACATGGGATCACGCCACTTCCCTGTTTAAAATGCTGCTAAGGCTCCCATTACACTTAAAGTCTAAATCCATTCACATGGCTTCCCAGCCCCTGCCTGGCTTGGTCCCTGCCCACTTTTACGTATGTCGTCCTACCACCATCCCCACTTCCCTACTGGCCTTCCTTCCCTTTCTCTGCACTCACCAAGCTTCTTCCTCAGGGCGAAGCCTCATTTGTTGCCTTACCCTGCACAGCTTTCTCCATCCTTTAACTGGCTTGTGCATGTTTCTACTTCAGGTCTTTGACTCCTCTGACCTCCTGGAGATATTAAAAGCTGTCTGTGCCAGAGATTGCCAGTAGGTTCCGAGCATGCCCTTTTCCCTTCTCCCTCTGGGGCAGAACATCTAATTTTGTGTTGGGCCCATGGCTATGTGGAATGGAGGCTGCATTTCCCAGCCTCCTTTGCAGCTGGGTGTGGCCATGTGACTGAATGGTGACCAGTGAGGTATAAACAGAAGCCGTCCTTCCCAGAGTAATAAAGAAAATCTGTAAGTTAACATTCTAAGACAGTCAAAATATCTTGCTATTAGATATCAAATATCTTCCTCCATTAGAGTCCAGGGCTCTCCAGCTCAGCAATGTGACATCTTACCATCTTATATCTTCCTTCATTACAGATCTCTGTATGATATACAGAGTGACAACCACAGTATAAATCCTTTAACAGCGGGCAACTAACAAGTCTTTTTCTTGTGTTAATAGTTTTTCTACTTCCAGCTCAAGTTAGAATTAATAATACAAGCTAATTTTTTTCTTTTTGGTCACACCTCGCAGCTTGCGGGATCTCAGTTCCCCGACCAGGAATTGAACCCAGGCCCTCAGCAGTGAGAGCGCAGAGTCCTAACCACAGGACCACCAGGGAATTCCCTACAAGTTAATATTAATTGAGAGTTTATTACATCCTCCTGTAAATTTGCTGAGGATGGGCCGAGCACTTGATGCACGTGAGCTCATTTAATCCTGACACGAACTGCTTGAGGCTGGCAGTACCGCAATTTCTACTTTATAGGTGTAAAAACCAAGGCCCAGCAGAGTTAAGCAATATGCCCCCAAGGGCTCATAGTCAGAGTGGTGACTTGGGCCCAGGGTTGTGTGAGCTCTTACCCATTATGAGAGATTGCATCCTCTGAGCTCTCCTGGTTTTCAGTTTATTACTGGCATTCACAAAGAAAACTTTCTTTTTTTAAATTCTGTCTCTGAGTTGCTGGTCCCTGTTATGACAAAAATCTCCTTCTCTCTGACACCTCGTTTTTCTCTTCTGGTGACATTTACTAAATTTTTTTCTGTTCTTCCTTTTCTTTGACACCACAAATCAAGTTCACTAGGACCCCGGTTCCCCTTTTATCTTTGCTCTCTGGCCGTGGTGCCCTGTGGTCTAAGTGCTCTCGACCTCTGTCTCTCTCATACCAACCAGTCTTAAGACGCAACCCTAAGTCATCTGTACATGTAAGGACATTTCCTCAGGCATGGAGAAGACAGGCCTGCAGGAGGGAGCTTTCCAGAAAACATTAAAAAAAAAAAAAAGTGACTATAGAAGCTCCATAAAGTTCAAGCAGAGGCCAGGTAAGTAGGTAACGGAACCCAGTGACAGATTATGACATTTTAAACAACGTTTTGATTACTTTTCTGTAGGACTAGAAACTAGTTTAGAAATTAGGTTTTACTTTTCCAACTGTGTTACTAATTTATTCTGAACATTGAAGAAGCTACTTTCCATTTTTTATAAAATTCCTCCTCTGGGGTCAAGCCCACGATGCTTGTGGAGAAGAAGAATTAGGCAAAGAGACCAGGAAAAGGTTACCCTGAGTCAAGAATACAGACTGGATACTGAGGGGCAATACTTCATGCACCTCCCTGTGCCCATTAACCAAGATAACTTGGTTTCTGGATCTCCCAGCGCAGACCATCTGGGGACGTCATGCCGGCTGGATTTGAGTCATGTACCTGAACTGGTTGTGCTGGTGCAAGTCGGCAAAAATCTGAGAGAGGGCCTCACTCTCCCCCTTGGCCATCAGCTGCGCGAGGCTCTCACTGGGCTGGGAGGCTTGGAGTTTCTTCTGCACTAACTAGATGGAGGAAAAAAGCAAAACCAGGTGTAAGTTCTCAGCGTCTCTGCATTTTCCTAATATCATGGTCCAGACCCTAAAGGTTAGAACTCAGCTGTCCTATCAGACAGAGCCATGCCACCTGCACAGAGAGGCAATTCTGAGGCCATATCTGTTTGTTTATACCCCCGTACTCTTATAAATATCCTTTGGTGTCCCAAGAATAACATTGTCCCTGAAAACTTTACACATAATTTAGTAGATAAGCTATTCTTATTAACATACCTTAATACGTTATTGAATAGCCTATTAATATAAACTTTAATAAAGCTTATGCTACTTGGTTTTATATTTAAATGGAAGGGGATTAAATGTTTATTGTAGGAATTTAATGTTTTTCAAATTCATTTCTCTAAGAAATATCCTACGTTGAGCTACTTTTTATGCCAGAGTAAAACTGCCTTTTTTCCTGTTGCCTGTGATACCCCAGAGATGCCCCAGTTGTGCACACTGCTCATAGCCATTCAATATTTATTGAATATCAACTCCGTGCCAGGCACTGGGGAATCGAAGTGATGCAAACAGATAAAAATCTCGGCCTTCATGGATTTTGTGTTGTAACTCAGGTCAGGCTTCTGTTCATTATACTATGAGGCCTGGGGCAAAAAGGCCCAGGTGGCTTCCCTGAATTCTATCAAATATTTAAAGAAGTAGTAACACCAATCGTCACAAACTCAGAAACAGAGGAGGAGGGAACACTCCCAAATTACTCAGTAAGGGGAGTATTACCCTGATACCAAAGCCAGGCTATCACAAGAAAACTACAGACCAATATCTCTAATGAACATAGATGCAAAACTCCTTAACAAAATGCTAGTGAACCAGATCCAGTAATATATAAAAAGGATCATACAGACCGTAACCAAATGGAATTTATTGCAGGAACACAAGGCTAGTTTAACATCTAAAAGTGAATTAATGTAATATACTATATTAATAGAATAAAGGACAAAATATGTGATCATCTCAGCAGATGGAGAAAAAGCATCTGACAAAATTCAATACTCACTCATGATAAAAATTCTCAATAAACAAGGAATAGAAGGGAATTTCCTGAACCTTATAAAGGGCATCTACAAAAATCCCATGGTTAACATCATACTTAATAAAAGACTCGATGTTTTTCCCCCAATACCAGGAACAAGGCAAGGATGTCTACTTTTGCTACTTCTATGAAACATTGTACTGAAGGTTCTAACTAATGCAATAAGGCAATAAACAAATAAATGGATCCAAACTGGAAATGAAGTTAAGCTGTCTTTATTCGCAGATGACATGAATGTATGCACATATGTAGAAAATCCCAAGGAATCCACAAAAACTACTACAACTGATAAACAAGATTAATACACAAAAACCAATTGTATTCCTGTACACTTTCAATGACTGATGCAAAAATTAAATTAAGAAAACAATTCCATTCACAATAATATCAACAACAATCAAATACTTAGGAATATATTGAACAAAAGAAGTATAGAACTTGTAAACTGAAAGCTACAAAACATTGCTAAGGGAAATTAAATTAGATTGACATAAATGGAAACACATTTGATATACATGTATTAAAAGACTCAATATTGTCAAGATGGCAATTTTCCCCAAATTGATATATAAATTCCACATGTCCTTATCAAAATTCCAGCAGGCTTTTTTTTTTTTTTGTAGAAATAGACAAGTTGATCCTAAAATTTACATGGAAATGCAAAGGATCTGGAATAGCCAAAACAATTTGAAAAAGAGCAAAACTGGAAGATTTACAACACCCAATTTCAAAACTTACTATAAAGCTACATTAATCAAGACATTGTGGGATTGGCACAAGAATAGGCAAACGAATCAATGGAACAGAACTGAGAAGCCAGAAATAGAGCCTTACATTTATGGTCAATTGATTTTTGGCAAAGATGCCAAGACAATTCAATGTGGAAAGGATAGGCTTTTCAACAAATGGTACTAGGACAGTTGTATATCCACATGCTAAAAAAAAAAAAAAAAGTACTTAAAAAAGTACCCCTACCTCACATCATACACAAATATTAATTCAAAATGGATCAGAGACCTAAATGTAAGAGCTAAGTCTTCTAGACTTCTAGAAGAAAATATAGGATAACATCTTAGTGACTTTGGGTTGAGCAAAGAGTTTTTAGATACAACACCAAAAGCCTGACCCATAAAAGAAAAAATTGATAAACTGCATTTCATCAAAATTTTAAACTTCTGGGTTTCCCTGGTGGTGCAGCGGTTAAGAATCCACCTGCCAATGCAGGGGACACGGGTTCAAGCCCTGGTCCGGGAGGATCCCACACGCTGTGGAGCAACTAAGCCCGCGCGCTGCAACTACTAAAGCCTGCGTGCCTAGAGCCCGTGCTCTGCAACAAGAGAAGCCACCGCAATGAGAAGCCCGCGCACTGCAACGAAGAGTGGTCCCTGTTCGCCACAACTAGAGAAAGCCTGCGTGCAGCAACAAAGACCCAACGCAGCCAAAAATAAAAATAAATAAAATAAATAAATAAAATAAAATTTTAAACTTTTGCTCCTCAAAAGACATCATTAAGAAAATGAAAAGACAACTCACGGACTAGGAGAAAATATTTACAAATCATACATCTGATAAAGGACTTGTATCCAGAATATGCAAAGAACTCTTACAACTCAATAAGAAGAAAACAATCAATTTAAAAATAGGCAAGGGACTTCCCTGGTGGTCCAGTGGTTAAGACTCTGCGCTTCCACTGCAGGGGGCCTGGGTTTGATCCCTGGTCAGGGAACTAGATCCCACATGCATGCCACAACTAAGAGTTTGCATGCCACAACTAAGAGTTTGCATGCCACAACTAAGGAGCAGGCGAGCTGCAACTAAGAAGCCGGCCTGCCTCAACTAAGACCTGGCACAACCAAATAAATAAATAAAATAGATATATATTTTTTAAAGTTTCAAGAAAGACTTGAATAGAAATTTCACCAAGAAGATACATAAATGACTAATAAGCCCATGTAAAGTTGCTCGACAGGAAACCCTAATTAAAAACATAACACATCCACTAGAATGACTTTAATTAAAAAGATAATACCGGGCTTCCCTGGTGGCGCAGTAGTTGAGAGTCCGCCTGCTGATGCAGGGGACACGGGTTCGTGCCCTGGTCCTGGAAGATCCCACATGCCGCAGAGCGGCTGGGCCCGTGAGCCATGGCTGCTGAGCCTGCGCGCGCGTCTGGAGCCTGTGCTCCGCAACGGGAGAGGCCACAACAGTGAGAGGCCCGAATACCGCAAACAAACAAACAAACAAACAAAAAGATAATACCATTGTTTTGTTTTTGTTTTTGTTTTTTTTGGCCGTGTGGCTTGTGGAATTTTAGTTCCCTGACCAGGGACTGAACCCAGGCCCTCAGCAGTGAACAGAGTCCTAACCACTGAACCGCCAGGGAATTCCCAACAATACCATTGCTGGTGAAGATGCGGAGAAACTAAAACGCTCATGCATTACTGGAGGGAATGTAAAATGGTACTGTCACCTTGGAAAACAGTTTGCCGGTTTAAACATAAACTTACCATATGACCCAGCAATTCCAATTCCTTGGAATCTACCCATGACAAATGAAAACATACCCTAACATACATCTATACAAAAACTTGTACACAAATGTCCACAGCAGCATTATTCATAATAGCCCCAAACTGGAAACAATCCAAATGTCCATCAACTGGTGAATAGATTAAACATGGTATATCTATACAATTGAATACTATTCAGCAATTGAAAGGAATAAATTATTGATAATCTGTGACTCTACCCTAGAGTTGGCCCCATGCTATGATATGGATGAACTTGAAAAACCTTATGCTAAGTGAAAGAAGCCAGACAAGAAAGCCTATATATTATAGGATTCCATTTATATGAAATGTTTCAGAAATATGAGTAGAGATTGAAGGCAGATCAGTGGCTGCCTAGGGCAGAAAGTAGGAACAGGGAATGACTGCAAATGGGCATGAGGGAATTTTTTAGGGTGATAGAAATGTTCTAAAACTGGATTGTGGTGATGGTTGCACAACTCCATACATTTACTGAAAAATTTGAACTGTGCGCTTAGGTGAATTTTAATCAGTAAAGCTGGTCAGAAAAGGCCTAAGGCAAGGCTTCCCAGGGTGCCCCCGTATCAGCTCACTGAAGCTCTACAGCTCAGCTCTGACCTTGGCTGGAGGAGCCAATGGTGCCCACTTACCTGTGAGTCTCCTGAGGGACTGCAGCTGTTCTTGGGTACCAGGCAGTGAGTGACGAGAATCCTAGGGTCTTTGGTGGTGATGGACAGGCCCTTCTGCAGAATTTGAACCAGTCGGATCCAGAAGTGGAAGACAGTCTGAGGATGGTCAGGGTGGAGCCTTAGGTAGCAGATCTTCTCCGTGACTGTCCTCAACCGCAGGACACGTTGAAAGCGGTCACAGACCTGGAGCTCCACAAACTTCAAAGGGAGAATCCTGAAGGCGTGAGGGAAGACACATATTGCTTCTGATCCGACCCTGTCTTCATTAAAATGAGGAGTGTCTCCTTCAGAATCGAGGCTTTGGTGGGTAGGAGAGAGAATGCTTAGCACCGTGGTGCTCAAACTTTGGGGAGATCAGATTCACCTGGGGAGCTTGTTTAAAATGCAGACGCTTCAAGATAACCCCAAAGATTCAGATTCAGTAGGTCTGGGGTGAGCCCCTGGAATCTGCATTCTAACCTCTACCCATCCTGCCATGATTCTCATGCTGGTGTTCCCTGGATCCTGCTTGAGAGGGACAGCCTGGGAGTAAGGTAGCTGGGATCATAGGGCTTTTCAATTTCCTTCTTGAGAGCACAACAGGAGCTGGGTCCCACTGTCCAGCTTGTCCATTCATTGACCTCAATGCCTCCATTACTCTTCCCAAAGGAGCTAAGATTCAAGGAGCTGGCTTTGGATCTAGTATTAGTCAGCTGGGTCTGGGCTGTACTTGCCATAGGTGTACCTAGAACATAATGGAGAGGTCTATCACTGAAGCAACATGGAGCAATGAAGGGTTTACTTGGACTTCTGGGAGTATCTAGAGATTCCTGAGATATCCTACAGAAGAGGCTCAAACATCTAAAAGGGCCGTTTCATCCCCGACAAGCATAATGTTACAGCTCCAAGTAAGACTTCGTTCCACTCACTTTCCCAGTAGGAAGACTGCAATGCAGCAAGTAACTTGTGACTCAAAAATTATTTGAGTCTAGTTAGTTGCATAAGGACTAGAACCTGCATCTCCCAGCCAGTGCTTCATCTGCCAGACTGCCTGGCTTCCTTGCCCCTTGGCCCCAAGTGGAGAGATTTCCTAAGAATTCAGTGCAGTGAATGCAGCGAGAAGGAAAGAGGGCATGTAGACTGGCCCTCACTCCTGTCCACTTTATGGCCCCCCTTTGCCCCCCTTCAGGATGCTTACCTCTTCAGGATGATCTTGGGGGCTGTAGTTGGTTGGTTCCATGTCTGGCTCTGCCCATGGTGCCATTTGACGTTGGCCATGAAGAGGATGTTGGGAAGAGGCAGGCAGGGCACAGAGGAGGTCACCCCAAGGGCCATGGTGTTGGAGGCTTTGTAGATGCCTATCCAGTTCCTGCTCTTTTTGACCTGCAAAGCAGCACCCCAGGGCACAGTCTGAGCACCGGGCAGAAGCAGCAGTATGCTTCAGGCGAGAGTTTCTCAGACTCAGCACCATTCACAGTTTGGGCTGGATAATTCTTTGCTTGGGGGAGGAGCTGTCCTGTGCATTGTAAGATATTTAGCAGCATCCATGGCCTCTGCCCAATAGATGCCAGGAGCAATCTCCACCCTCCCCCCATACAAATTGCGATAACCCAAAATGTCTTCAGACATTGCCAAATGCCCCCTGGTGGCAGGGGCAAAATCATCGCTTGTTGGGAACCACAGTTTTAACCTATATTGGTTAAACAACTGTACCAGTATTTACTTTACCTACTATTAGCGATTGCCCACAAGAGTTCCTTGACGTGTGTCACACTTCTGTGAATCCTCCCCAGACTGTTTCCTGGATTTTCTTTGAAAAACCTGTCCTTTGGCACTTTCTTGAGGGGCCCTATTATCTCCTGCACCTTTTCTGCACTGTCAGGTCCCTGTAACTTCCAAGTTCTGTTTATTCTGGGTTCCATCTGGCCTGAGGGGAGCCCAGACAAGGAAACAAAAATGCACTGAGTGCCGTTGCACTAAGGCCTTTGCCTCCTGTGTTTCATGGAACAGCCAGGTCAGTCCCACCCTTATTACAATAGAGGAAACTGGGATTCAGGGTGTGCAGGTCACCTTCCTGATGACACCTCCTGATAAGAAAGCAGTGGACCGGACTCTGAGCCCAGATCTCTCCAGGCATCCAGCTCCTATTCTTTCACCCACCAACATTTCTGTTCTGAACCCTCAAAGGGCAGCTCATTTTACCGCCTCTTTGTTCATCTGCTTTGAGCTGACGGCCTGGAGGAGGAAGTAAATTGAGGGAGGAAGCTACCAAATCCTCCACTCAGAGCAGACAACACTTGACCTCTCTCCCCAGAGTGACTGCAGGAGAAAACCTATCTGGAGCTCTGCAAAGTCAGGGTCAGATGGGGTATCCTTGCCTTAGGTTCCTCTCTTTGCCTCAGTTGTCACTCCACTCCAGTTCCAGGGACAGACTCTCCGTCACATTGTGGGAACAGATTTAGAGGAATCAAGGAGTGCCATTCTGAGCGGCCCGAGAGTACCTGGACAAAGTTGCTTTCAAACACCACTGATTCAGGAAACAGGTTGAATTCTGGAGAATGAACCATCTGGCAGAGCAGTCCCTCCTCCACACCCAGGCCCACTCCAGGATTTGGTTCCCTATCCACAGGAAAGAGGCGCCTGAATTCTTCCCAGGCATTCAGGGAAGGGAAGGTTGGATAGGATCTTGTGACTTTGACTGTCTTCTTCGATTTGTTCCAAGTCTTTCTATGTGGAACTGATGACAACATTTCCGCACATGCTCAGGGGCCTGCTGCGCATTTGTCCTGGGATCTCTCTCTTCCCTTCTGGCCTTGGGCAGCTGGCCAAGGCCTGGGACCACCAATCAGATCACAATGATGAATGGATGACATCATGAAAAACCAGGGCAGGGCTGCAGGAAAGGGAAATGCAGAGGAGCCTCCCTTTTCCTCCAGGGTGCTTTTACAGCTTGTTTAGTGCCCTGACAGGCCCCAGCCCTTCTCAGGACCTGAGCTCCCCCAGAACTTGCTAAGAAAGTACTGAACCAGGCACAAAGCAAAGAAGGAAGGCTGTTAGGAAGCTCCTTCTGCTTCTAAAAGGAAAATACCCTCCCTGCCTTTCAACCCTCCCTTACTCTGAATGCGACTACCCCCAAAGAATTTTTTTATTTATTTTTATTTTTGTTTTCCCCCAAAGAGTTTTAAAGGCTGTTGTCAATTTAAAACCCAGCCTTCCTGAGCTTTGTACCATGTGGGCCCCACATACCCTGGTTTATCTGCAGTAGCCTTTGCTGTTTCTGGAAGGAGTTGAGGGGCTCTAGGTGCCTGCTGTGTGTTCTCCTACAGCTGGCTGGCTACTTCTGCGGGCCTTATTTCCCTGAGGAAGTCACACTGAAGAACCGTAGAAACAAGCAGTTTCTTACCCAGAGGCTGGCTTGGTGAGGGTACCAGCTGAGAGGAATAGAATCCCAATGAGCAGCTCTGCTGGATCAACAAGCCCAGGAAGAAAGAGCCCAGATCTTGGGGTGGCTAGATCAGAGGCAAAGAACCAAGCAGCCTGACTGCTATTCAAGTCTATTTCAGGGAGAAATCACATTCTAGTTTGGACAAAATTCCAGAATCTATTAATCATCAAGGTACATTCACCATCAAGGTTAAATACAGTCAATTTAGAAAAGCAATCTGACAACCAACATACGCAAAGTACAAGCATGGAGGTTTATTTTTTTGTTTCATTAACAAGTCAGGGAGAAGGCTGAAAGGTCACGAGGCTTCCCTTATCTGATTCATTCAGCTCCCTCTCTGAGTCGTTTCCATTACGCCCCTGCTCTATCGGCTCCCTCATGGCTAAAGCAACTTCTGCACTCACGTTCCTTGCTTTCTTTTGTTTACCATGTGGGAGAAATGTCCTCTATGGTAACATTCTCTAAGGATGGGGTCAGAGACTGCATCCTGTGGTTTACATTTCCCGGCAAACAACATACAGTACAAAAGTGATGGCAGTCATACGCGGATATGATGCTTTTCACAGTTAAAGCTTACTTGCAACAGTAAATCTTATTGGCTTAAATACATGGTTTGGATGTATTTGGCCACTGAGACATTCAAAAATTCCCTTCAATATGGAAGATGACTTTTTCTCTTTACAAGCCTGTTGAGCCCATTTTTGTGGTGTGTAGAGGGTGGCTTTTTAGCACCCAGTCTAAATAGCTAATTGTGAGGAAGCAAGCTTTCAGCTCTAAACAAAATGCTAAACAATGATAAAATGGTGCCTTAAGTTCCTATTCCTTCCTACCTGCCCCCATTAAACCTCAAAAACTAGCACAGTGAATCTTTAAAAAAACATTTGACAGATACTTAGTTGTCTGTCCCAATATCCATTCTCTCCATTCCTTTAGTAATAGAATGGTTGGTTTTTAGTTGGACACAAGTTTCTGGAATAAATATGTCATTTCCTGGCCTCCCTTATAGCTAGGTAAGCCATAGGACAAAAAAAAAAAAAAAAAAAGAGGTAAACTCAAGTGTTGGGTGAAATTTCTATGAGGAATCATTATGGGAAGGGGATATGCTCTTTTCTACTCCTTGTTTTTCCCTTCTGACTGGAATACAGATTTGATGGCTGGAGCTGGAGCAGCCCTTTTGGGCCATGAAGTGGCATGCCAAGGATGGTAGCATAGCAAGATAAAAGGGCTCCAATTCATTGCAAATCATAAAATTATCATATAGTCCTGAACTCTGTACCTCCAGACTTCTTTTAAGTATGAAAAAAATAAAGGTTTTCTGTGACTTTGAGCCAGACTTAAAATAAGCTGATAGAACTATATAAAATGACTATCTACTCTACTGGACAAATTTTACAGGAAATTATTGTACTATTTACCAATAATTCTAAGCAATGAAGAAAATAGGGTTAATTTACAATCAAGTTGGACCTTAAGAATGACAAACATAATTTCTGGAAAAAGTTGTATAAATATATATTCCAGTAATATGAATAACTTATTGGTTTTGTTTTTCTGTGTATACATTGATGTTGATGCTGTCACAATTGTTGACTTTTGCACATTTACTGATGAGCACTTTGGTGAGAGTCTCCTCGACTATGTTGATTGTCCTTTGGTTTGAGGCTAAAGTCACTTGGGCAGGGTTGGGTATCATTTCAAAAGCTTGCTCAGGAATGACCAGGAAGGACTTCCCTGGCGGTCCCGTGGTTAAGACTTCGCCTTCCAAGGCAGGGGGTGCGGGTTCAATCCCTGGTCAGGGAGCTAAGATCCCACATGCCTCAGGGCCAAAAAACCAAAACATAAAACAGAAGCAATATTGTAACAAATTCAATAAAGACTTTGAAAATGTCCACATCAAAAAAATCTTAAAAAAAAAAAAGAATGATCAGGATATCTGGTTGTCAGTTGAGGCTGGGCCCAGGTTTTGTGGGATTTAAAGCTTATACAATTTTGGAGACTCTTAAAAATAAAAAAGACTGGAAGAAGGGGTGAGTCAGGAGTTATTGTTTAATGGGTACAGAGTTTCAGTTTGGAAAGATGACCAGGACTCAGAGATTAGTTGTGGTGTTGTTTGCACAACAATGTGAATGTATGTACTGCCACTGAACTGTAAACCTAAAAATGGTTAAAATAGTAAATTTTACATTGTGTGTCTTTTACCACAATTAAAAAAAAATGCTGGAGCATAAAAAATGAAATTTTAAAATCCTACAAAAGTATGATACAAAATTGCTGGAGGCCCTCCTAGGGCCTTGAAATAGCCCATGTGATTAAGGAACCCTGAAGCTTAAGCTTTATTATCTTCATGGTAAATATGTTCCATTTAAATACGTGTCACTATTTAAAAAAAAACCTGGGACTTCCCTGGTGGCGCAGTGGTTAAGAATCCGCCTGCCAATGCAGGGGACATAGGTTTGAGCCCTGGTCCAGGAAGATCCCACATGCCGCAGAGCAACTAAGCCCGTGCGCCACAACTACTGAGCTCACGTGCCGCAACTAACGAAGCCCATGCACCTAGAGCCCATGCTCCACAACAAGAGAAGCCACCACAATGAGAAGCCCGTGCACCGCAACGAAGAGTAGCCCCCACTCGCCGCAACTAGAGAAACCCCATGCGCAGCAACAAAGACCCAATGCAGCCGAAGATAATAAATAAATAAATTAAATTAAAAAAAAAAAGAAAGACATAAAACATAAAATTGGAAATAAGGGGCTTCCCTGGTGGCGCAGTGGTTGAGAGTCTGCCTGCCAATGCAGGGAACACGTGTTTGTGCCCTGGTCCGGGAAGATCCCACATGCCGCGGAGCGGCTGGGCCCATGAGCCATGGCCGTTGAGCCTGAGCGTCCGGAGCCGGTGCTCCGCAACGGGAGAGGCCACAACAGTGAGAGGCCCACATACCGCAAAAAAAAGAAAAAAAAAAAAAAATTGAAATAAGGAAGCACAAATAAGTACAAGTAATAAGGAAGTACAGGCTCCTGGGTAAAGGTAGTAACATGAAGCTGTATTACTTAGAGTATAATCTAGGTAGTCAAAAGCCCCCAAAATACAGTGAGTTAAACAAAACAGAATTTTGATTCTCTCTTACATAGTGGTCCAAAGGTAAGCAGTCCATAGCTGGTAAGAGTATCTCTGCTATACTCAACAGCTGGGTTCCAAGGTGGTTGCTCCAGCTCCTACCATTATGTTTGCATCCTGGCCAGTGAGAAGGGGAAAGGGGAAGGGGAGTGTACACTCTTTCCTTTTAAGGGCATGGCCTGGTAATGGCATAATCACTTTTGCTCACATCTCATTGGTTGGAATTCTGTCACATGGCCACATCCAGATACAAGGGAAGCTGGGGAATGTAGCTTTTAGCTGGGTGGCCATGAGCCCATGTAGAACTGTAGAGTTCTATTATTTATTATTTAAGGATGAAGGATATTGGTGGATTATCAGCGGACTCTGCAAAGAAGCATGTCACAGAATTACTCCCTCTGACATCCACAGTAAATACATATTTTTTTTTAACAGCAAAATTTTAACGAGTGACACTCTAACCAGGAAAGAGGTTACGTGGTGGCCAAAGGATAGGGAAAACAGAAAACCTGGGTATGGCCTGATAATAAAGAAAGCAAGTTAATATAATTGTGTGTGTTCTCACAAATTACCCACCACCCCCAAAAGGAAACAGGCAGCCAGAGGGATGAGTAATCAGCTCAGGGAAAACAACAGTAAGAAAAATCCTCAAGAGTAGAAGCCCTTATTGATCAGAGCACTGCCTCTGCAGAGGCAGAAAAGCTCAGCTGGGCTCACCGTTTTTCAGATCTCCAAGTTGAATTGACAAAGATTATTCCATGAGAACAGGATGCATCTCCAACCAGAGAAAAGGACATTTAAAGGGCCATCAGGAGAGAGAGCACAGCCCAAGATCTCACCTGGACGGACAGTCCAGGAGGGCGGGAGAGAGCCTAGGAGGGAGAGATGGCACTCATGGGATTGCACCAGGGCACGAGTGATGCTGTCAGGGACTTGCTTCCCTGAGAGCTACGGAGGTGTGGAACAGCAGAGCAAAGGAGCAGCCCCAGGGTGAGGTGAGAGCAGGAGAAAGTGGAGACAGCAAAGTAGGCTTAAAGTTGTCTGTTCAAGTATCATCAAGTCAACCAGGAAATATCCAGGAGAAGGTCAATACTCCCGTATGATGGTCCTCAACCTTGTCCGACCCAAGTCCCCTTTTCATGGCAAATATTTCGTAACACCTCTTCTGCTGTTCTGAAATAAAATACAGTGATTATACCATATATAAATATAAATATATACACATATAGGTTTTCAAAATCGATGTGCTAGCTCAACTGTCATATAAAAGGAAAAACTATAATAAAAATATATATTCTAATATGTAAATGCTTGTGTATGACTCTTAGAAGTCAGAATGAAAGCTAATCAGAGACCTGTACTCAGAACGCAGTAGTTACAAAAAAAAAAATACCCTTGAAGGTGTATTGAACTGGCTTCTGAAAAACAGTAAAAGCCCACTATAGTTTGACAAGTGAGGTCCCAAATAGTCAATCAGGTGCTGTGGCGTTCTTCTGAAGTTAATAAAATACCTGGGGTTAGCCTACTCAGCCAAGGGGCTGGGAGGTGCGGATCCAATCCACTAGGGTCCCGCCTGTAGTGTGGCGCCACCTGGCGCCAGTCATTCGCTCTGCTACATCGTCAAGAATCCGGGTCTTGGGGTTGGGCTGGGCCCCTGGTTTAGCAACTAGGCTGGGCTGAGCCTGCAACCAAAGGTCTCAGTGATGACGGCTGACAGAAATGGGCGCAAGAGGGACTGACACTTATGAGAAGAGGCCCAGAGGCCATTGGCCCTACTGCCCTCTGGACTTTGAGACTCACAAGCTGCCCAAAGTTCGTGTCAAGCTGTTCTGGGCTTTACTTTTCTCACCTGTAAGGTATAGTTCAAAGTAACGGCTATCTCACACAATTGGGAAAATTACATTAGATTGTAGAAGTGGAGACAATTTGAAAAATTCAAAGCGTTTACAAATGGAATGTCCCGAGTGCGCATGTGTGATGATCTGATACCACTAGTTGCCACATTCTTCTTGCAACTAGGCAAGGCCCTTGAATGGTGGTGAGGGGAGGGATAGATATGACAGAAGTTCCTTTCGTTCTTTGTGCAAGGCAGTGTGGAGACTTTACGGGGCTATAAGACCAACTTAGAATAAATTATGACTACTTCTTTGTTTGTCATGGACACATGGTGTGTTCCCGGTTATTGTTGCAACTATTAACATTCAAAAACAGGGTTTTGCTTGGGGGCATAATAAAAAAAACGTATCTCTCCAATGGGGAAATGAGTTGATTTATCCTAAGTCAGGCAGGAATCAGAGACAGATTCGAAAACCTGAACCATCCTCTCTCGGTGTATTTCTAGATTGTTGTATTTCTGGTTGTTTCCATTCAAGTTATAGCTCCTGAAAGTGGCCTTAGCCTTAATAATTCTAGATTTTCATTTATTATTTTTTTTAATTGCCATTGGTAATTTTTTTAATATATAAATTTATTTATTTTTGGCTGCATTGGGTCTTCGTTGCTGCGTGCGGGCTTTCTCTGGTGGCGAGCAGGGGCTACTCTTTGTTGTGGTGCAAGGGCTTCTCATTACGGTGTCTTCTCCTGTTGCGGAGCACGGGCTCTAGGCACGCAAGCGCCAGTAGTTGTGGCACACGGGCTCAGTAGTTGTGGCTCACCGGCTCTAGAGCACAGGCTCAGTAGTTGTGGTGCACGGGCTTAGGTGCTCTGCAGCATGTGGGATCTTCCCAGAGCAGGGATTGAACCCGTGTCCCCTGCACTGGCAGGCGGATTCTTAACCACTGCGCCACCAGGGAAGCCCCTAGATTTTCATTTAAAATGCTCATTTTATGAAGCTTTACCATTCTCAGTGGTTGTTTTTCTTTTGAAGCCATAGTCTTGGATTTCTCAAGATTGACCCCTTGTGGGCTTTTTTTTTTTTTTAAGCAAGATAAGGAAGACTTTATTTGGGACAAGAGGGGTGGGGGGACTAACACAACAGGTGGAGGGACCACCGCAATGGAATTTTGCAGCTGGGGAGAGAGATCGGGCTCAACTCTGAATGCAGGATGGATAGGTGACAATTTATAGCCAAGGAGCAGGGTGAGGAGAAGTGGATGGAAAATTACTAAGAGGAAGCATCAGGGGTAAGGAGGATTCTGGCTAAACTGACGGACAGGATTCTTGCTGAAGATGAGACATGTTTTGTTTTGTTTTCTAAATCAATGGCCTGTGGTTCTGAGAGTTCATTAGTGGATCCCTTGGTGGCCCCAGGATGCAGGTCAGGACCTCTCATTTCTACATATTCACTGTCCCCAGGTTCTCTGCTTCCCCTACCTGCTGTCTCATCAATATCACTAGAGTCTTAATGGACCTGCTGTTGATTATTTCTCTTGAGACTTACGAGGGCATTTGTGAAGCTTTCATCTCACTTCCATCACACATTTTAAGTGGGTCCATCTTGGTATTATTCCTTGAGGACATTTTCTCTTTTCTCTGAATTCCATTTCAGAAACTTTAAGATGCATTCTCACATTGTTTGGGGGATTGTTTTTTGCAAATGTCGTGTCCTGGTGGGCTCTAAATGACTCTGGATAACAATGTTTTATCCCTTCTCCCTTTTAAATGATGTGTTTATCGGCCA